GGGAAAGGATAAAGTCAGTGAGAAGTTGATCTTTCATCATTGTAACCAGCTGAGAAAATTCTGCCTCCAGCATCTGCTTGTGAGGGTGTGAAAGAGAGGAGAGCAGACTCATTTTGCCAAACTTAGATCCCACTCAGCAGATGGGTCCTAACATTAGGAGTAAAAAGAGGGAAAAAAAAAGGAAAATAAGGGAAAAAAGGACTTTTGAGCCTGGAGGTTCAATTAACTTGACTATAGCATGGAGGCTTCTTTATTAATTCTTTTTTTTTCTTTTCCTTTCCTTCTTTTCCTTTTATCCGCTCTCCCTCCCTTCCTTCCTGCTTTTCTTTTCTCTCTTTTAGATCATTGCAAGGATCATCTTAAAACAACTTTAAAAAAAAAAAACTTTCAGTTGTAGGCTTTCTTCAGAGCCAAGAGTTAATATACATTTCTTGAGCAAAAAAAGGTGACTATATTGGGGTTTAACATACTCCTTTACCCATAAAAAGAAAGCAATTGACCAAGATAATATTGCTCTTAAAGTATTAGGTATACATTGTAATGTTTAAAAAGGAATGGGGTTAATCAGGAAAAGCTTCTTAGAAGGAGTAGCCCAAAGTATTAATTCTAATGCAGAGAGATATACAGGATGTGAATAGGGGGTATTAGGGAGAATTTTATAAGAAAGCGACTTCAGCAACAATGTTCTGGATGCAGACAGTGCAGACCAAATTATGTGATAATATGGAACATTTGTCTCAACTAAGGAGGCAGTCAGGATGAGATTTAGAAAAGTGTAATACTGGCCTTTTGGGGAAACACAGACCAGAGAAACCCAATTCAGGCTAGAAACAATGAAAACATAGTGTCAATGAACTTTAAATGGTTTACATTAAATTTTTGGTGAATCTTTTTTACCAATGGGAAGAGACACATTTTGGTTTAAGAACTCTAGCTTTTAGAAATCTACATACCATCAGACTTTTCTCATCTGATTTTAGAGCAATGGTTGTAATGTTGACCATGGTCACAGAAATATTTTCTTAAATCTTCTCTTGAATAACTAATGACAGAAACCAGACACTGGAATCAATATTAGTGATGGTGTCATACTGAGTTTATGACCCATGATCAGCCAAATATTGGTTACCCATAGTTGAATATTCTAGAAGAAAGGAGGGCACAAATGTATATTTTTATGGTCCATCTACTTCTCATATGTTCATCATATCGTAGCATGACTCGCATCTTGGATTTTAGAGTTGGTAGATATGAACTTCTTTATGGTCTGGGCTACATTCCTATATATGTAACATTTATCCAACTTGTTAAAGGGTATTTGTGATTTTGCTTATCTTTTTAAAACCATATTTTCTCAGCTCCTTTCTGCATCTTGAACAACATGATTTGCTTTCACTGATTCATATGATACAATAAGAGTTTATTGAAAAATATGATTTTTTTTGGTGTCAAATACATCCTTCCTCACTATCTGAACTCCTGCCTCCTCAGCTGATTACAGAATATCATTCAATCAGAGAGTTTCCTAACTATTTATTCTCAGTCCTGATAACAAAATATATGTTTTATTGATATAAGTATTTCAACCTCCCAGAGTATTTTTGTTGTTAAAAGTTGCTTCTTTCAATTAAATGCGCTTGCTTGGCGTTCATTTCTCTAACGTCATTGCCAGATGTATGTTTTAAGGTAAGGTGAATGCTGACTTGTTCCCATTCCTACTCTGAGAGTATTGAAAGCAGTGGTCCTGGTCCGAGCGTCCCTGGACCATTATAGAACTCAGCAGAAGAGTACCGGGTAACAGAGGTCAAGCCTTCGGGTCTTACAGCATTTGTGTCATCACCTCCATAATGACTGTTGTTTAATTCAGCACCTGCACTGGACTCATCACGTTTCCCGCACTGTCCACTGCAGAGCTACAGGAGACTTGGTTATGTCTATTGTAATTACTCTTGGTTCATGGTTGGCAGTGCCAGCATCCTGTCGCTGATCAAACATCCTTCAGTAAGCTAGGATGTTTGATTTAACGTTTAGGTCTCTCCCAGTCTAACCCCAGCTTATCTTTCCAAAGCTATTTTATACTCCACCTTCTTCCAAACTCTCATCTCATAAAATAAAGGCTACTTACAGGTCCATAAATATATAAGTAGTCTTAGCTCTACAATTTTTACTATCTGGCCCATTCTACTTAAAATGTTTCCCCTCCCCAGGCTGATGGCCTGTCCAAGCCTGGCCCTTCTTTCTGGCCCCAGCCAGAGTTCCCACTTCTAGGGGCTGTCTCACCGAGTTCACAGGCATCTCACTCTCCAAGGACCTGTGCACAGATTGCCCACACCCCTCATTGCGTATTTAACCAACGCTTTCTCGTATCGTTACATTTTCTCTCTGTACCTCGTCCCCCCAAAAGACTGCAAGCCTTTGATATTAGTGATAGCATTTTCTATGTTTACATCATTACGACCTGCTAGAGTGTTTTGCATGTGGCATATGAATAATTAAATTTGTTAGTAACTATGATGATAACTATAACCTAATATCCATTTACATAGAAGTGCAGTTTCTAGCCTTTTAGATAGTAACTAAGCAGCCTAAAAGTGGGACTGTATCAATTTTCAACAGTATTATTCCAAAAGAATAACTAAGTAGTAGACTACTCCAGAAATTTAAGAAAATATTTCAGTTTTTTAAAAATGGCAACTCAAAACTTCTCACTCTCACCCTCCACCTTCTAAACTCTGTAATACAGCCTCCACTGCTTACTATCAGAACAGATATACGCATGTATGCTCTTCTTCAAATGCCATAACCCCTGAAAGTAAATTGTAGCTTTTTATTGAAATTCTGAGGTGCTATTAGTATCATTTTCTCATTTACTTGTCAGTTTTTTTTTATCAAATGTTTATTATTTGTTGAGCAATTAGGCTTCTTGTGTTGACCTGAATACACATAGCCCTTTCCAGAAACCACATTTTAGTGCTAATAACAACTTTCATGTCACACATCAGACCCTGTTATTTTGAAAAAATGACATGACCAAAAATGGGGTCCTTTAATCTGAACTTACTAAGAGAGATGAATAAAAATATTGACACAACATTTTTTTGTCACTATTCTAATCTGAACAAATAATTATGAAAGTTTTCTTAAGATATGAAAGTTTTCAAATCTTACAGTTCTGAGCCCATTTTGTGTGTTTTTCCATAAAAATCCACCCAGAATATACAAGATTTGGTTTGTGGTTTTCTGCCTTGTTTTGTAGTACCAAGGTTAGTTTTTTTGTCTCAAAAGCCCTTACTATTTTGAAATCAAAATTATAAATATGTGAGAATTAAATAATGTATTGGTTATGCATGGAGCAGATCACACTCAGGAATTTCTGTTGAATTTAATAGGAGACTTCCAGGAGACCTTTTTGTTGTCTGTTTTACAACCAAGAATTTATATTTTGTGGTTAAAATAATATACACCTTGTTAGCTGATAGTCATTGGTGCCAACTCAATACCAACAGGAACCCCGAGTTGGGGATGTGGTGAAGAAGGTAACTCTATGCAGTGCAAACAGCTCGTGGTAATGCAGAGTGGCTGTGAACCATCACTGCCGTGGAACAGCTCTATAGTGGTCCAGCCAGGAAACACAATCTTCATCGTTCCATGGAAAGTGTGCTCTCCCACCTAGAGGAGAACTGGGTTATATAGACAGAAATCCCTGCTCCTGATCCCTGATTGGTCAGAATAGAGCTGCTCCTATAGGTCAGAACTGCACAGCTCTGATAGAATGGGGAAAGCCTCAGTCCTATTGGTTGAAATAGGACTATAGTAGCTACTTTATAAGGGCTGGTTCCAGTGACAGAAACACAGTGCAGACAGGCAGTTTGGTGGCTCAGAGGAAGGCAGTCTAGTGGTGCAGAGCTGCTCCCTGGAGTGTGGTTCGCCTGAGGGACACCTGTGCAGAAATGGCTGCTAGGTTCTGCTTTATGTTTTTGTTTTTATTTGAGCCCAGGTAGCCACTAGGAGCCCTTCTTAGTCCTCAGGGTTCACAACATGCACATACACGCAGACTTTTGTTTAAATGTCTACAAGAAGTAAATGAGAATATAAGATTATATCATCTAGTTAATGATTGCAGGTTGTAGATATGCATTTACATTTTATTATGAACCTTTTGACTTGTTGAGTAGTAAATTGTATTTGATGCATTCCTTTTCCCCATTTTCTTCCTAGAAGACACTGTTTGTATATGTGATTATAAGCTCTCTAAGTACAAAATCTATGCCTTTTATTGTATTTATAGCTAAACATGTACATGCTGAACTTTGTCTAATGAGTTGTTGACTTATTTTCTCCACCCTGCAAGAGTTTGCTAATGATATTTCTTAAGAAATGTTTTGGCTAATTGTATAGTACAAATAGACAAGATTGAAATGACCCTGAAAAAATTTGCTAAAATAGTAGGAATGGACAGGGGAAAAAAAAAGGTAGTGTTATGTTTTATTAAGTAAAGGTCTTACAAATGTTAGTATTAGTGACGTTATATTAACTTTTGCTAAATTGAAATACAACTTTAATATTTAAAATGGGCAAAAGGTGAATATTCTGAGGGAGAAGAAAATACATTTACAATAAGATGATCTTTAAAAAAGTAAATAAAAGATGATCTTCACTTGACAAAAGAGTTAAAATTACAACCTTTGAAATACAAGTTGTAAGAGGTAAGGACTCTTCAGGTTTACAATTAATGTAAACCGCTGATAATTTTACTAATAATTTTTTTATAGTGTAGTCAGGTAAACTGTCATAAGTAGAATTCATAGGTACATCATTTTCAGGGAGAACTGATAGTTTTACTTTAGGTGCTTTTTTTGTACCTATAAAATACAGTAAGTAAGGATGGGGTGGAGTGGAGAAACCCACATTTCTAAATGGGAAACTCAGAACAAGTCAGTCTGAATAAGCTAATAACATTTATGAAGTAATTCTCATCCTTATAAATTGCCTTCTTGCAGGAAACAGACCTTATCCTGACTTTTAATATTTCAATGCACCGATCTTGGTGGATGGAGAATGGACCAGGATGTACGGTGACATCAGTGACACCCGCCCCAGACTGGGCCCCAGAAGACCATCGCTACATCACGGTCTCGGGGTGTTTTCTGGAGTACCAGTACATAGAAGTGGCTCACAGTTCCCTCCAGATTGTCCTCGCAGTAAGTGTTCACAGACAACCACTCTTTTTAGTGCTTCCGGAATTGTTTTATTTCTGTGCAATCCCAGTACACGGCAAATGGACTACGCAGGTAACACATGGCTATTTGTTTTTTCCTAATTAATGCCACTTTTAATAGGGATTTTGAGGTTAAGCCTTGCCCTGGACTGAGCATGCTGATTCTTTTCAGCAATCATTACATAGATGTTGACATCTTCAGCATTCTCCATAAGAAATCCAGCCAGTTTAGGTTTGATTATTTGGCTCTTGGTAGACTTGCAAAGATTCTGAAGGGAAGATCAGAGAGTTTTCACTAGGAACGTGCTGCAACACCCAAATGTATAAGATTTCAGTAGGTGTTCTTCCTGTCAGCCTGGGCCTCTTTCTGTGTGTACTCTTAGTCCCCAAATGCCTTCTCCATTTGCCCTATCTTCCTAGATTTCCCCCAAGTACCATCCATCATCTTTTATCCCTCCCCCACTTTCAAAACAATTCAGCTTTTCTTTGAATTGAATTCTAGTTCTCGGACAATTATGCCTTCTTTTTGCACAGTATCATACTGGTAAAGAACTCTCCTAAGTCCTTTCTATTGTGTACTTTTAGAACATATTTGCATAACACATACCTATGTTACATAAAACATATTATTTTATATTGTATCACTATGACAAAGAGATAAATAAGATAAATAACATACTTTTCTCAGGAAAAACTTTTACTAAGGCTAAATGAATAATTTGTGGGATTTATAAAGTTAAGTCAACTGTACTATACATGTCTCTATTTATTTATTACATATCTATAGGTGCCGGTCCACATATATTTTTCTCTGATTCCATGTAGATCTGCAATTAATGTGCATAGTCTTAAAATTGTTAATAACAAATAATGCAAATAGGATATGCTTTTTACCTTTTTTTTCAGTTAATTACTTTGGGAATGATGTTATCTCACAATTCTTAATTAACAAGACAGAGTGCTGGGTAGAATGGTGTCAATTAGTTTACATAAAATTCTTTTGGAATTTAAAAAAGCTATATGAGCATGTGTGTATTCAATTATATAACTAACAAAGATAGATAGATATATATACACATATATATATAACTAATCCAATTATATAACTAATATATTCACTTAATAAATTTTTTAAGTGAAGTATATACATATATATACAATACACATATATTTTCATTTATATATGCATTATTATATATTTATTATAATAGGCTAAGTATGCTGTGCTAGTAAGCACTTTCCAAATCTGTTATCACTAAAAGCCACAAAAGTGTATTCTTCTGAGTCAGCAGGAGGTTCTACCGTTACTGTCACTAAGGAAAGGAGGCGGAGGAGCAGCCGCCATGAGTCATCATGGGTTGCCATGCCAGAGAGCAAGCTAGATCTGGAGCCAGAAAACTCTCCTCTGTGGGAGGAGAAGCTCATTGCTCACAGTTTGTTGTCCAGAACCCATCCCACAGTCCCACCCAGTCACAAAATGGCCAGGAAGAAGGGAGAACTGTAAATACTTAGGAACCAGCATAAATCATTTCCACATTTTGAATTATGTTCTTAGTTCACATGGTGAGTGAATTCCCTGGAAAAGTCCAACCTGAGACACTTCTTAATAAACAAACCTTTCTAGAATATGTTTAAACTCTTACACGATTCATTTTGATTATCTTGAAATAAAGATTAGTTAGATTTGATGGGATGGAAGTAGTCATTTCATTACTTAAAATCCATTCAGATGAAGTACTCATTTTCCCATGGGACAAGTAAAATGTTTCTGGTTTCAGGAGACAGATAAAACACCTTCATAAACGTGATGGGGAGAGGTTGTACATAAAACATTCCTTCAACTGGCACTTCCTTTTGTTCTGCACCCAAGCATTTTGGAAAGCTTCCATTTATGTGTCAAGGATGCTATAAAGATAGAGTTTATATGCATGGATAGTTATATTTTAGAGAGTTAGTTGAAATAATGTGTGTATGTATAGTTCACAGATTTATTAAACCCCACGTAAAATTTTGGCAGGTGTGTAATTTTCTAAAAAATACATTTGGACATGGGAGAATATGTTGAGGTTGACATACGGCCCAAAGAAAAAGTATTTTTACCATAAGTAAAAACCATCTGTACAGGCAAAGTGGCTACAGTACAAAGACGATGGATGGAGTGGCCCTCAGAGCAGATATAACTGATATTTCGAGCTACTGGCTCTGAATTCTGTCTACATTGCCCCCAACAGAGTGGAGAGGAGACATTTGAACAAGCTATCACAGGATGTGGCATTTTTACCTCTCTCCTTCCCACCTATTCTGTCCAGGTGGCATCTTCTTTTGCAATGCCAACTGTGGGTCACCTGAGAGTAATTTGGTAACAGGGTACCCAAGCCAATTGCTTGGCGAAGTTTCAACAACCTTTCTGTCTTTGGGCTTGCTTTTATCTAGTCAGCCTTAGGCTGACAGTATCTGTTGTGCAGAAAATTTAGCAGATCTTCATTCGTTTTAGAATGCAAATCAAAATGGGGCTTATCTTGAACAATTTGCTTGACCTAGGGAATGGATTCCAAGTACATTTTCCTGTATTCATTCTGATCACTCTGCTGTCATGATTAAGAAACAAAATGATTTGTGTTACCCAAATCATGCCCCTGACAACCTACTGTTCAGTTCAGGCCAGCCCAGTGAGCACTGCCTAAGTGCTTGGCCTCTGCCAGCATCCAGAAAAACAAATGACAGGATCTCTGACTTTGAGGATGTCACAGTAAAAAATGGGGTGAGGGTCCTAAGGATTCAAACCAGGTGCACTTTTCAAGGATGTGATAGACAGAAAATACAGTTCATGCATTTTTGTGGCATAATCTTGGCTTCTGAGTTCCAGCCTGCTTTTTTGTAAAGTCAGCTAAACTCACACTCTTCTCATTGTTTTCCCACCAGCCTTTGAACCTGCTTTCTCTTCCAGGATGTCTGGCTTAGATCTGCTTTCATAGACGGCTGCTCTTCCAGCGATTGCTCTTGATTAACTCCAAATCTCTCCAGTGCCTTTTCTCCACCTTCACTAAGCCTTTCTTTCACAGATTTCTGACCCCTGGCACGCCTGTCACCCCGTTGTTCGGTTTTCTGCCAATCAACTCCTAGCTGGTTTTGAAATTAGCATTCACAAAGCCCACCATTTGCATTGCACATACATAAGATATTTCTTGTCTACAGCCAAAGGAAGAGAAGTTATCGGCATAATTGGGAAGAGGGGTTATTAATCACACAGCTTCCAGCGGAGCAGAAAGGACTGCCAGACACCGTAATGACAAGCCAGGTGTGAGGCTGCGAGCTCTCTCCTCCTCCAGCAGCATTGTCTTCTAGTTAGTATCAGACGTCACATTCAAAAGGGGTGCAGGTGTTCACCGTTTCAATAAAACCAAAAATAAAAACAGCCCACACTTATAAAATAGATCAAATAAATACGTATGGGGAGAGCCAGGAAGGAAACCAGCTAGAAGGATGGTGGTGTGCACCCTACAAAGATTAAGCCGATTTCTTCAAATGTGTGACTGCAACAGCGTGGTTTACAAAACGTGTTCACAGGCATTGAATCCTTTAACGTGTAACAGTCCTGTGAGGGCAGCAGAACAGGTGAAAAGCCTTCCCCAAGATTTCTTAGCTGGTAAATAGGGAGGATGGACATGCTGACCTAGGTTTTTCTCTGCCACCAACAATAGGAATTGTCTCAACCTGTATGCCAGCACCAGCTGATGCGTAATGGATCCCCAAAGCCCCCCAAATTCTAGCTCGTTAGTGGCAAAGCGTGACATGATTGATTAGCGATGTCTGCTATGAGTGAGGGGAATGGAGTTGTTTGTGCCTCATAGTTGGTATGCACACATTAGACCTCACTTCCTGTAACCAACACAGTGAAAAGGGAGGGTGTCATACAAAGAAATGTAAGTAAATGAAGCTTTCACGAAAAACATTTATTACGATAATGGAAGTTGCTTTATATTTTAAAATATATGTTAAGATTCCAAATAATTGATTAGAAAACAGAAACAAAAACAAATGTCCAGTCCCTCTTTTCTCTACCTTCTCAGGACCAATACCTCTACATTTAATATAAATTTCTCCAACCAAAATTGCTGTAGGTGTTTCCCTTTACTTCCTTGATTTCTTTAACTTCTGACACATTTCTACGTTCTTATTGTTTAATCAGATTGATTATTTAAATATATTTTATTGATTTTAAAGAGGAAAGGAGAGGGAGAGAGAGCTAGATACATCGATGATGACAGAAAATCATTGATTGGCTGCCTCCTGCACATCCCCTACTGGGGATGGAGCCTACAACCCAGGCATGTGCCCTTGGCCAGAATCAAACCTGGGACCCTTCGGTCGGCAGGCCAATGCTCTATCCATTGGGCCAAACCAGCTAGGGCTAATCAGATTGATTATTAGTAGTTTTAGGAGATGAGCAGAGGATATTGATAAAAATGTAAATAAGATCACTATTTCCCACAGATATTAAACTTGGCTTAGAACCCATATATGAATTAGCAGGGAAGTCATAGAAGACTTTAGAATAGGTTCCAATTCCTGGCGTTGTCCACAGATTCACTGCCAAGTTCATCTTTCAGGGATATCTATTCCCTATTCAGAAAAATGTGTACCTTGTAGTGTTTATAAAATTGTGGAAATCCTTGTTCAACAGACTGTGGCAAAAAAATTTTAAAGATAAAATGTGTATCTTCAAATGGATGGAGTCACTGATATTTCCAATTATTTCCAGTTATTAATAAATATTTGCCGTTCAGCTCCCTGAGACTTGCTAAGAAATTTTCAAAACTTGGAATGCCTTTATCCAAGTGGATTTGGGGTTGTAGTTGGGAATGGTACATGAGTACTTCTTTAGATGTAGCTGATGTGTGTGGTATGGATGAGAGGGAACGGCCTTAGTGCTCACATTCCACTTGACTCCTTCTTCAATCTGGAAATGCTTATTCACGAAGA